ATTATCATCATTATTATTTTTTGGTCAATTATTTGTTCTCATCGACTTATATTTTATGAGATCAAAGAAAATCTCTGTGGTATTATAAATAATATGGCAGCAGCACTTTATCATGGACTTTATGTAATTATTGGAGGCGGTATAATTCCAATAATCATCATGATTACATCGGCGTGGCTTATTCGTCGGAATCTTCTGCATAAACATAAAAAAAGAACACAACTATCATTAGGTAGGCATCAACGAAATGCACTCGATCAACAAGTTCTTCGTATATTATTTGTGCAAATTACATGTTATATTATATTTACAGTTCCTCAATTATGTAATTTAGTATTTAATACAATCTCAATAACAATTCCTAATCGATCAAATGAACATTTAGCTATTGAAAGATTTCTTTCATTCATAGCTGAATTGATGCTTTATTTATTTCCAGTGACATCATTTTATTTATATACACTTACATCTCGTACATTTCGTAAAGAATTAATCAAGTTTTTTCGTTCAATATTTTGTCGGAATGATAGAATTACATCAGTAAGTGGTATTACAACTACTGATTACCCATTTCGTACATGTACTTGAATTGCTCTCGATACACTAATGATATACCAATGATTTTCTTATGTCCAGTGGTATATTGTGGGTCAAAAATTGCGGATTTATATTAGCTTTTGTTTTGTGATTGTTCCATTGAACTAGTAAAATCAGAAGAAACACCACGAAAACTTTAGACATTTTATGGCTTATGCTCAAATCCGAATAACAACGCGTTTTGACAGGATAATAATATCCAACGCTTTACTAATTTAATCGTTTTTTTCTAAGATTTTTCTGAGATTTCTTTTGCTGGAAGCAAAGTTTCCCATCCAATCAGCATTATAATTTTGTTTTCGTTTTACTCTGAGAACAATTTTCAATGTATTTAACCGCATGATATTGTAGCTCTTTTTGTTTGCATAAAGTAACTAATAATTCTATTTTAATACTTCGTGTTGTTGTCAGTTCCAGTCCTATTC